TAGTTCCATTAAAGATGCTGTATATATAACATGCACAGTACACCCACGGCAGCTAGTGTTATTTTATTATTATTTTTATTTATATACTGTTATAGTATTTTTTTAATGTTTCAAATAAGCCGTTGTTTTTATATTTTCAGTTTTAATTTAATTTAAGTTTTAGTCATTTTTTATGTGCTTTTGTCATTTATATTATTATTATTATTATTTAAAATATTTCTATTTAGCTTTTAATTTTTATTTGTTATAGGTTTAGTAATTTTAGTTCTTCAACTTTTTGTTTATTTTAGTTAGCTGCCAAGGCAACATTTCAAATTTTCATTTAAGTGTTTTTTTTCTTCTTTTTTTTTTAAAGTTTGAGTTTTTCATTTTAATATATGTTTATTTTATTTTACCTTTATTTCAGGAAACGGAAACTCTCCTGGACACACTCAGTCATGGGGTAAAGGTACACACACACACATGACTGTTGGAAAACCATGAAACCAGAGATTATAAATAATAATGTTAAAGAATAATGAGGTTTGTTTCTTGTTCTCAGGACAGCCAGGCCTCTTGACTCCCTGTTACAAGGGCAGTGTGCCGTCTGGTTCATTCGGACCTGTCGATCCAACAGTAGACACTACTTATAAGTTCATGGAAAGCCTCTTGAAAGAGGTGAAGTTTGTCTTTCCTGACTCTAATGTTCATTTAGGAGGGGACGAGGTCAGTTTTGCCTGCTGGTAAGCCTTTTTGACACTTGGTATTGTTTTGAGTGCCTCATTTGAGCTTGACTGCATTGGCAAGAACTGTGGTGTTTTTATTTATAAGACTTCAGCTATGTTATTCTTAATTCTAGCAGGCTGTCGAATCCCAATGTGCGGAAGTTTTTGGAAAAGATGGGTTTTGGGAAGGATTTTACTAAACTGGAATCATTCTATATGGAGAGGTGAGGGGAAATGTGAGAGTGTTTAAAAAACAAAGCTAACTCATATGTCTGTAAGGTTTTTTTTTTTTTTTACCTTTTGAAAGAATTCTCTTACACTCACAAAGGCTGCGTTTTTTTGAATAAAAACACAATAAAAACAGTAATATTGTGAAATATTATTACAATTTAAAATAACAGTTTTCTATGTGAATATATGTTAAAACGTCATTTATTTCTGTGATATCAAAGCTGAATTTTCAGCATCATCACTCAAGACTTCGGTGTCACATTCAGAAATCATTCTAATATGCAGATTTGCTGCTGAAGAAGTGATGATACATATTTATTTTCAGGATTCTTTGAAAAATAAAGCATTTATTTTAAAAAACAAAAAAGTGTATTTTTAATAGTTTAAATGACTTTACTGTCACTTTTGACACATCCTTGCTGAATTTCTTTAAAAATAAATACATTTTCTTAAAATAAATAGATTTTTTTTATTTCTAAAAAAATGATTATATTCTTTAAATTTCTTTGAACAGTGGTTCACATTTTTAGCATAATTGCATAATTTGTTGACTGCTTTTCCTTCATGATCCTTTCCAAATGATTGGTATATACTGTATATATATATATGTATATGTGTGTGTGTGTGTGTGTGTATATATATATATATGTGTGTGTGTGTGTGTGTGTATATATATATATATGTGTGTGTGTGTGTGTGTGTATATATATATATATGTGTGTGTGTGTGTGTGTGTATATATATATATATGTGTGTGTGTGTGTGTGTGTATATATATATATATGTGTGTGTGTGTGTGTGTGTATATATATATATATGTGTGTGTGTGTGTGTGTGTATATATATATATATGTGTGTGTGTGTGTGTGTGTATATATATATATATGTGTGTGTGTGTGTGTGTGTATATATATGTGTGTGTGTGTATGTATATGTGTGTGTGTATATGTGTGTGTGTATATATATGTGTGTGTGTGTATGTATATGTGTGTGTGTATATGTGTGTATGTGTATGTATGTATGTATATATATATATGAGTGTGTGTATGTATATATGTGTGTGTGTGTGTATGGATGTATATATGTGTGTGTGTGTATATATATATATATATATATATATATATATA